AATGGAATCCCAAAATCTCTGTAGATGTTCATTGAAATGAAAAATAAACAACCTAAATTTAAAAAAAAATTTTAAAAATACATTAAAAAATATAAGACAATGTGAATTATTACCTGTCATAACAAGAGGATTTCTTATTTAGGTGTTACTGCAGATGACCACATGATGAAGGTAGAGACTATTCATTGCAATGCCTGTAGTGTGTATATCCCTGCCTTACATAGTTTAATCCAACAGCACTTGAAGTCTCCTGATCACATCAAAGCAAAGCTGGTATGTTTTGAGCTATAGTACTAAAGTAATTGTCTATCAGTTCTTTACTATTGGCATATAATTTCTCTTAATTTCAGGTAACTGTGATTGCTTGAGGATTAAATTAATTACAGCATATAAAACAGTTAAAATAGGACCTAATAGTGGATTTTTTAGGAAACTTTTGTCTTAGTATTAAAATTTTTTTGAAGGCAATACAAAATTGTTCTGTATGTGTATATATATGTAAGAGCATAATAAAAGAAGTTAAACACTTGTTTATCTGGTATATTTTTCTGATCATTTAGTAAAAGACATTTGAAAACCTGCATTATCAGTAAAATAACACTGGAAAATTGACACTTTGTGATAAATAAGATTTTCAGTTTGTTTTATATAGTCACATTTTCAATCATGTAGAAATACATGTTAGAAATAAAAATCTAAAATTTCAACTATTTTTTTTAAAGCAGAGCATACCTGATCTTTAAATTTACATTTTGTACTAAAATGAAACTCTTTAATGCATACTTCTAGGTACTAACAGCACACTGTAAAATATGCATGGGCCACGTGGGGAGTGCCATATCCAACTGTTAGAGATTTCAAAGGAGAAAACTGTCCCCATTCACAGCATCAATAATACAAAGCCAATTCCCATGGGTCAGACATGTCCCTTACCCTCTCATGCCTCTTTTCTACTCACCTCAGTACTAATCTGACTCTTTGCTGGCTCACAGACCACATAGAACCATATTGGGGAAGTCAACATTTATAATCCAGATTAATAACAGAATATGGTCAAGAAACTTCTGAAATGTTCATACAGGTACTTCAGCCTTGAGCCCCATGGCTTTAAGTGTTCCCAACTTCTCATTCCTGCCAATACTGGCTCTTCACCTAATTGTCCAACAGAGTTCTCAGTCCTGCCACTATTGGCTCCCTATGCCCTTAAAATCTAATCTCATTAATTCTCCATTTCAGCCATTGCTGCTGCTGCCATCCCAAAGTGTGCCCTACATTTCACTGGGTTGAAAGCGGTCTCTCTTATTTAGCTGGGGAGGAATTCTGTGTGCAACTAGAGCTCTTCAATTTATTATTGAGACTAGCCAGTCCTCTTATAGATTGTTGAGACTGGCCAATTTCCTTGTGGAAAGATAGATAGCCATTCCCTTTGTGGATAAGCCAACAGGCCTCACTCGCATAGTCCCAACTCTCCAGCTTAGTAATACATACTAGAAAAGCCATATTGAGAGACAAACTCCATACAAAGCTTTTCTTACTCTTTGTTTTTCACTTCTCATTTTGATAATCACATGCTACTCTTTTGGCAATTAAATGTTTTATGTTCTTACTACCTTGTTTTCCTTTTCATTATATAGTCTTGTGATAGTTGCCACATAACAAGAAGACTTACAGTATGAAAAAGTATGCATGTTTGATAACATAAAATCTGATAGTTGATGTAGATATGAGCCTGATGAGGTAAATACAGAGAGGAAAGGAGAGTAAGCATCTCTGTAGTAGACCTACAAGTCTGTATTTGGGGACTGTGTTTTTTATTAAAGATAATTAGCTTTTAGAATTATTATTTTCAGTCTTTAATGTGCTCACTATAGTTTTTGTTATTCTGTCTTAACTGACCTGGAAGAGATTTAGACGTAAAATGCAGTTTTAATTTTGTAAATATTTACATGACAGATAATATCAGTGTATTTTATTTTTTATAGGTTTATAAGGAACAAATAAAAAGAGAAAGTGTCTTGACTGCTACAAGCATTTTAAATAATCCAATAGTGAAGGCACGGTATGAGCGCTTTGTTAAGGTAAGATTTAAGGGCGAAATCCCTGTCGGTAATATTAAAAGAATTCCATTAATTAAATAGTAATATGTCTTTGTTATATTTGAGTATTATTCTTAGGTGCTGTATGACACATAAATAGCAACTCTGTGAAGAACAGATTTGAACCCTCTCCTATCCTGTGCCAGTCTCATCATCTCTGCCAGTGCTGAATCTGTAGCTGCAGTCATTATGTCATTCCATCTTGTTAAGGGTTTTCTTGCCTTTCACTGACGCTCCACGATAGCCCTTTCTAAGGAATGGCCTCTCCTAACAATATTCCTAAAGTATGTGAGACAAAACTTTATCATCCTTGCCTCCAAGGAGTACTCTGTCTACAATTTTGTCAAGACATATCTGTTCACTGTTTTCATAGTTCATGGGATATTCAGTACTCTTTTCTAACACCATACTCAAAGACAACGGTTTTTCTTCTTTCATCCTTGTTTATTGCCTAGCTCACAGATGCATAGCAAGTAATTGAAAAGACCATGGCCTGGATCTGGTGCACCTTAGTATAAATAAATACCATTGTTCTTTAGTATATTGAAGAGGTCCTTGGCAGCAAACTTGCCCATTGTAATGTGTTTTTGATCTTGACTGCTTATACTAAGGTTGTCAATTGTGGATCTAAGTAACATGAAATCATTGACAACTTCAGCCTTTTCTCTGTCATGATGTTGCCTGTTGGTCCAGTGGTTAAGATTTTTGTCTTCTTGATGTTTAGATATATTCTGTAATGAAAGCTGTAGTGTTTAATCTTCAGAAGCAAGCTTTCAAATTCTCACTTTCAACAAGCAAAGTTATGTCATCTGCCTACGCAGGTTGTTGAATTTTCCTCTGATCCTGTTGCAGGTTCAGCTGATGCCACATTCTTCTTCAGAGTTTAGCTTCCCAAATGATTTTCTTAGCATACATATTGAATAGGTGCAGAAAAATGATGCAACCCTGATGTGTACCTTTCCTGATATTAAACCATACAATGTTCAGTTATTTCTGTGTTAAATTGCATCTGATTTTTTTCCTCCTTTTTTATTCTTTTTCCCTTTATAAAACAGACATGCCTAGGAGTTTTCTAACCTAAAAATGACCTATTTTTTTCTATAATACACCTTTCCTATTTCATGATCACTTTTGCATTGTGCTCTTTGTTTCTGTATATTATTTATTCTTTACCTAATTCTCAACTGGCTGGTGGTTTGTGTTGTAATGCTCTCTGAGACTAAAATTAAATAAACAAAACTGCCTGGGTCCTTTTTCAAACCATCTGAATTAGTTTTCTCCAAACTTCTCTGGTAAATCTCTGTTTAAATTCTTTGTAAATATGTGGTTAACCAGGCCTTTTCCCTGGAAATTTTTCATCATTCTCATATTTGAAATTGCTGTAACCAAACTGCTGTGACTAAATTAGCAAATTGAAAATTTTGTTCATTATTTTAAACAAACTATAAATGGAGTCATGACAAATCCTCAAAAACATGTTGCTCAACTTCAGCAGTTACCGTTTCTAGTGGTCTGGTCTGTAGTGAGTTCTGTGGTTAATCCAAAAGTTGTACCCCTCTGGTGTTCAGATCCATCAGCTGTTCTGAGGGAAAACGATGGACAATCTCATCCCATGTAATTTCAGCCTTGGAAACCAGCAGGTTCAGCTGGGAATTGATTCCAACTATACCACTATGAGTTTTGTTTGCCTTTTTCAGCTTTTCTTTTTTTCTCTGCTGTTAACCTTTTTGCAACATTGGACACCACTGATAATCACTTTCTCTCAAAACTTTGTTTTACCAGATAGTATTTTTTGTCTGGAATTTTTTCTTGCATTTAGTGTCCCTTTTCCAACTTTTGCCACTATGCATGGACATTTTATTTCCTTTTTAATCTTCCTTTGTTTTATATAACTTTCCTTTCACTTGTCAAACGATATTTCTCTTAGCTATTTACTAATTATTGTTCTCCTTTCCCTCTCATCCTTAGTAATCATCAAAGAATATTTCATTCTGTTCAGATGCTTTTTAAAATCATAATAGCATTATAATGATAATTTGTGTCCAACTTCTTTTCACTCAGGGTAGTGTCCTCTGGGTTATACTATATCATGTAGGTTCTTGCAATTGGTTTCATGTTGCATAGTGTTCCTTTGTGTATATAGAATACCATGTCACAGTTAATTCATCTGTCGGTGGCATTTCAGTTATTTCCAGCTCTTTGCTAGTATAAGTAATGTTGCAGTGAACCTGTTTTTGTTATGTGCCATTGAATTGTCTGCTACTCATAGCAATCCTATGTTCAACAGCCCTAAACCCTGCTCTATTCTGTACCAGTCTTACTGTCTGTGACACACCTACCCCCATTACCCTAGTCACTGAATCAAACCATCTCATTAAGGGTCTTCCTCTCCTGCTCTGTACCTCCAAACCATCTCATTAAGGGTCTTCCTCTCCTGCTCTGTACCTCCACCCCCCTAAGCATGATGTCCCTCTCCAAGGATTGGTCCCTCCTTGAAACATGTCCAGAGTCAAATGAAGCTTCAGAATCCTTGCCTCCAAGGAGCAGCCTGATTTAACCCACTCCAGGATGAACCTGTACCCTCTCTTGTTGTTGAGTGCCATCAAGTCATAGTCGACTAATAGTTACCATATGAATGAAAGTCTTGGACACTTGTATAACTTTCGTCCTTTCCCCAGGTTCATAGGATTTCTAGAGGCAAACTGTTATGGAAGTGGATGCCACTCCTGCTTCCAAGCTTGTTTTAATCAGGGAGCTCCACCAAACACTGTCCACTATGTGTAACTATTCTCACATTTGACTCATCAGTGTCACAGTGTTTGACTTTACAGCAACCACGAGTTACCTCTGTACAGCAAGTGGACATACCAGAGTTACACGACCTAGAAGAATGCTTCACCAAAAACAATTAAAGGCAGGCCTGAGGGTCGTGCAGTAGAGTCGCTCACCTTTGGTTTGGGAGCATAATTTTCTGTCCACTAGGCCAACTGCTCTCTCTCTCTCTATGCTGTTGTTGTTGTTGTTAAGTGCTGTCGAGTCATAGGCGACTCATAGTGACCCTATGAATGAAAGTCCTGGACACCTGTATAACTTCCGTGCTTTCTCCAGGTTCATAGGGTTTCCAGAGACAAGCTATTAAGGAAGTGGATGCCACTCCTTCTTCCATTCTTGTTTTAATTGAGGAGCTCCACCAAATACTGTCCACCATGGGTAACTATTAATGTATTTGACACATAAGTTCTCTTAGTAGTCCAGATCACTTCTCTTAGCAGTCCATATTCAGTATTGTTCTTCAGCACCACAGCTCAAAGACATCAATATTCCTTCTATCATCCCTAGACATTGTCCAGCTCTCTGATGCATAATGATTGCAAAGAACATGGCCTGTATCAGGAGCACCTTAGTCTCTAGACTGACATCATTGCTCTTCAGTTCTTTGGAGAGGTCTCTAACAGCAGTCTTTCCCAACAATGCATCTTTTAATTTCCTGCTTGCTGATGCCAAGAGTATTGATTGTGGAGCCAAGCAAACTAAAGCTGTTTACAATCTCAACATAAGTGTGCATACATCTGTGTTTCATCTCATTTCTTTGGGAAATATACTTAATAGTGGATAAAATAGTACTTCTCTTTCTAACTTTTTAAGGAACTGCCATACCACTTTCTACAGTAGCTAGTCTATTTTACTGTTGCACCAGCAGTGTCTGAGAATTTCAGGTTTTCCACAACACTTAACCAGCATTTGTTGTTTTCTCTCTCTTAATGAACTTTGCTATTATTGTTGGAGTGAATACTAACTCATTGCATAGACATTTTTATAAGATTTTATTCTTGACACCTTTTCCTAATTATCCTTTACCCTCACCCCAACTTTCCCATTTAAGATTCCAGCTTTGTGATTCACATTTCAGGCAATTTACAAATACAAATATTTTTTTACGTTGAGCTTCCTTTCCCTTTGAGTTGCAAACCTACATTTAGAGCTACCTGTTGAGATTTTAGATGTTGTTGTTGTTATGTGCCATCGAGTCGAGTCGTTTCCGACTCATAGCGACCCTGTGTACAACAGCTCTAAACCCTGCTCTATCCTGCGCCAACCACACCGCCTCTCACACACCCATCCCGATTACCCCAGTCACCGAATCAATCCATCTCATAGAGGGTCTTCCCCTCCTGCGCTGTCCCTCCACTCTCCCAAGCATGATGTCCCTCTCCAAGGACCCGTCCCTCCTGGCAACATGTCCAAAGTATGTCAGACGAAGCCCCAGAATCCTTGCCTCCAAGGAGCAGCTTGGTTTAATCCTCTCCAAGATGAATCTGTTTGTTTTGAGATTTTAGATAGGATCTTAAATTACACCTTTCTTCCCTTTCACTATCCCAATTTACCTACTTCTATTAATGGCATCCCTACATCTTTGAATCTTCACTTTCATGGGCTATTAATGATAGTGTAATGGTATTGTCTCTTTGCTACTTCATTTTGTCCTGTGTATTCTTAATCTAGTTCCTCATTTTTAATTGCATTAATACATCCTTTCATTATGGTTTAGGGAGTCCTAGTGGTAAGGAGTTGCACTGCCAACCCAAAAGCACACAGTTTGAATCCACAAACTGTTCTGCAGGAGCGATGGGTAGTCTTTCATATAATTTATGTCATATATTTCATCTGAAAACCCACTGGAGGGTCAGCTATGAGTCAATTTGAGCTTAATGGCATATAATAGCACAATATTATTATGGTTTAGTTTATATGAAATTTAATCTAGGTATGTAATATAAAGGCAGCTGTGGTGGCTTACTGATAAGGAGTTGTCTACTAACCCAAAGACAGGAGGTTTGAATCCACCAGCTATCCCACAGGAGAAGATGGACAGTTTCCTGTGCAATTTATAGCCACTTGAAAACCCATGGGAGTGTCATCTATGAGTTATATATAATATAAATGTTAAAATATAATGATATGAATATGTAGTCGCCAAACATGTCAGCTTTTTAAAAAAGAATAAATAGACTGCTTGGTTTTCATTTGAATTTTAGATTGTGCATTGAAGTACTTGTGTAAACAAGTAGAACACAAATCTTTGCATCATTTGCTTTGTTTCTGTCACAGTCCTATATATGCCTCAATGTATATAATTTTAGAAGTTCAGAAAATAATTTAAGTAATTCCGCTTATGAAGTATAAGGCACTGGTTTCAGTAATTTATATAGCTACATAGATATGAAACAGGTAAAAGTATTAAATGTTTACATTATATATAAAGTGAAAGGCATCAAAGAGTATTTATGCAGGTAGAATGATTTTAAAAAATACTTGAGAGAAGTTAGAGAGAGCATGCTGAGTGAACTAACTCAGTCTCATAAGGACAAATGCTGCATACGACCATTATTAAAAAATGGAAGGATTATTAGTAAGATGTATTCAAAAGTCCAAAGGCGGAAGGGAAGGGAAGGGAAAGGAAGAGGGGGCCTGAGAGTGAGAAGTGGGGGAAATCTTCAGATCATAGAGCTGTGTGAGCCGAGTGAGGGGTTGAAGGAGTTAGGAAAGATTCATTGGGGATCTTGAAAGGTGGGGTAAGGGTGGGTATGGATCAGTGTTGGTTAATTTTATAAAACATGATGTGTGGGAATGATCCTGTGAAACGTGGTGTGTGTGGAAAAATGAATGAAACATACATAAATGAAACACAATGTATATGAATTTCATATGCAAGCCAATATAAAATAAAAATAGTATTTATTCATAATAATTTGGCAAATAAAGTTTGATACAAAAATTAATACACTGATATAAAAAGCTTCTTCTTATTTTTAGGGTGAGAACCCTTTTGAAGTTCAAGAGCAATCTCAGGATCAATTAGGAGATGAGGAAGAAGAAGAAAAGATTGATGAACCTGTTGAGGAAGATGAAGAAGAAGAGGAAGATGATGATGAAGTGGAGGAAGCAGAGGAAGTGGAGGAAGCAGAGGAAGTTGGAGGAGTAGAGGGTGTTGGGGAAATAGTAGCTGGGGAAACAGGAGAAGATCAGGGAGATGGAGAAGAGGGAGCTGGGGAAGTAAAGGTAGCTGGGGAAGTAGGAGAGGGTGGAGAGAGAGCTGAGGAGAGGGGAGTGGGAGGAGAGGGGGAGGTAGAGGGAGTGAGGGAAGTGGGGGAAGAAGAAACAAAGGAAGAACCTGCCAACTTCTCTGTTGAACAGTCTGAGGAAAATTAAATATATTAGGCAGATTTAAGTGGAACTTTAAGTTTCTCTTGTATTGTAATGTGGAAAAGAGTTAATAATTTTAATAGCTTAAATGAGTCAGCATGGTTGCATGAATTCATACGTTAAAATTTGTTTTGTATTAATTTTTAAATGTTTGGAATTTGTTTAATAAAAGGTAGGGCAATTTCACTTTGATTTTTATAGCTACAAAACTTAGATTGGAATAATTATATAATTTCTAAGCTTAATTTTGATTATTGATGTTAATGATAAGAGATATGTATTGTTAGTATATCTATTTTAATTATTTGAATTTCAATGCTGCTCTTGGGAGTAAATATTGAAGTGTGCATTAATTTTTTTGAATACTTAGCCTACCGGAGATAAATTGGGCAAGTGTTTCGTGCTCTGAGTGTGTATTTTTTTACCTGTTGGACGTTGAATAGCAGTTTGTGTTAAGAAAGCTTTTTGTGACCATGTCTCTCTTTTTAGCAATAAAATGTTTTTTATAAAAACTTTCCCTGGATTAGCAATTTGAAATGAAACAGTATTAAAAATTATTTCTGTCTACAAATATTTTCCCTTCTCTCATGTTTTATGGGCCATATACTTACATTCTTAGAAGAGATGTTCACATTGATAGATAGCTTATTTTTTTTAAGTCATTTATTTTCAAATTGACATTCACCTACATCATTGAAGCAATGCTCTTCTTTTACTCGTTATTCTGGTCACAGTTTAATTGACCTTTAGTGAAGGAGACTTTTAATGAAAATTTGCTTGAAATTTTGAGAATCCAAATGTATCAACATAGTAATTTTAAGACATTCAAAGGATAAATTTATGGACATTTACAAAATTTCATAGGTGATGTCTCTTTCTTGCATATAAGACATAAAGCTATGTTTTCAAAGCTAATAAAGGTTTATTGTGTTGAGCTAAAATCCATAAATTATTTATAATGATTTTGAGCCAAAAAGAACAAAGTTATTTGAAGACTAGAGAAATTTGAATCCTATTTAGGAGTCTCTGTTTACTTAAATAGATGTACATAACATTATTTATATATATATATATATATATATATATATATATATATACACACACACACACACACACATACATACATACATACATACATACATACATACACACGTAACACCCACTCCTGTTGGCCTAGTCTGAAGAAAGTTTGGCTGCTAACTCAAAGGCTGTGTCTCTCTAGCAGTAGCCCTACAGGAGAGAGCTGGGTAGCCTCTTCCCTTGTAAATTTTAGCCTGAAAGGTTTGCTGAGTTAGCTTGAGTCAGTGACAGTGAGTTTGAATCTGAATGAGAAAGTGTAATAGAAACATACAGAGGCTCAGATGTTTTGTGGACACAAAGAGGTTTTTCATAGTCAATAAAACACAAATAACCATTCTTCAAATATTCTCTGCTTTCAGCCAGGATCCATCCATGTGACATCAACAAGGATATCCCTGGTGCCATGACCTCTTCTAAATCCAATGCAGTTCTCTGTCAACGTACTCTTTTAATTCATTTTTCTGTAATCTTCAATAGTAATTGCTTGCATATAATAATATTGTTTGATAATTTCCACATTCTGTTACATCACTTTTTTTTTTAGAATAGGAGGAAATAGGGATCTCTTCTAGTTGGCCATTTGGCTGTCTTCTGTCATGGACTGTTGAGCAGGCCCAGGGCTGCATCTATGAGTTGAAATCTGTCAGTTGGTATCCCATCAACTCCTGAAACCTTATTTTTCCCAGTGCCTTCAGTACAGCTTGAACTTACTTCATTACCATTGGCTCTTGCACCATATACTGTTCTGCAGTGTTTTATTGTTGACTAATTCTTTCTGATGTGATTGTGTATTCTCTCCCATCTCTTGTTGCTTCCTGGATCATTCCAGATTTTGCCTGTAGCATTTTTCGGTATTACAAGTAGAGATTTGAATTTGTTTTTCAGTTCTTTTAGCTTGAGAAAGGCTAAGGGCATTCTCCCCTTTGTATTCTCAGACTCCATCTCTCTGCACATTCTGTTAAAATATTTTGCTTTGTCTTCACAAGCTGCTCTTTGAAATCCTCTGTTTAGTTCCTTTACTTCAGCATCTCTTCTTTTTGTTTTGGGTTCTAAATGCCATAGTGGAATTTTCAGAGTCTATTCTGACATCAGTTTTGGTCTTTCTCTTTCTTCCTTGTCTTTGTAATGAACTTTTATTCTCTTCGTGAACGATGTCCTTGATGTCATCCCACAGCTCATCTGGTCTTGGATCATTAATGCTCAGTGCCTCAAACCTATTCTTGAGATGGCTTTTAAATTCTAGTAGGATAGACTCAAGTTTGCATTTTGGTGCTTGTGAACTTTAATTTTCTTCAGCTTCAGTTTGAACTTGCACATGAGTAACATGGTCTTTGCACAGTTACCACCTTGTCTGTTTTGGACTGCAATGTTAAGCTTCTCAAAGATTTTTTTCATAGATGTAGTCACTCTGTCCTCAGCAGCCACCTTCAGACCCTATCCCACAGTGCAGTTATATGCCTTAGCTGGGGTCAGAAGAAGGCTGGACAGTGAGTAAGGATGACAAGAATTGATGCCTTTGAGTTGTGGTGTTGGAGAAGAGTACTGAATATCTTGTGGACTGCCAAAAAAACAAACAGCTATGCCTTTGAGGAAGTGAAGCCAGAATACTTGTTATAGGTAAGGAAGCAAGGCTTTGAGTAGCTTGTTTGGTGTAAGGAAGGACAGAGCCCCGTTCAGGCCTAGAAAGAAAATTTATGGAGGAGAAAATGCTCAGCTGACTCCAAAGCAGAGGACCACTCTGACCTAAAGTTAGAGTGAGGTTATATATTGTGTTACAGAGAAAATGGGCAGGGGGCTTGTAGACAGATGCTTGTTAGAAGATAAGGAAAGCAGGCCAGGGATTATAGATAGTTATGTCTGGGAAAAGAAGAGGGAACAGTTTTGTGGCCCTAACTGAGACAAATAGCTGTAACTATACATCAATAGTTGTGGCTGCTGCTTCATGTGCTTTGATTGTTTCTGCGGCTATTCTGGGAAAGGAGGCGAGAGCATCTCCAACATTCCAGCATTTTGTTAACTAATTGGGGTTGTTGAGGTTCACTTCTGTAATGTCTTCCTGCTGAATCAGGGCAATAATCTAAATGGGGGAAAGGCTGTTGGTTTTAGGCAGCAGAGTTGGCAGATGTGACAATGTAGGATAATGGTAGGTGCTCAGTTGGTACTAAAGGAAGTTCACGGGCTGTGTGGTTGGTAAAGAGAGAAATTGCATAAAGCAAGGAACAAACATTAAAAAAAAATTATTGTAAGATGGCCAAGGGAGGGAGTAACCAGGGTAACCATCCTTTGGGGAAGGAGAACACTTCTTGGCTTGGTAGGTTTTCCTGTCTCTGCTTGATTTGATCTTAGATTTCTTTTACCTTGCTTCTGACTACTACTAACTGGTTCAGATGGTAACCAGTACTCTTGTCCCAGCAAGAAGCAGATTCCTCTTTTCAACAGTTGGTAAATCTAATGCTCATCGGTTTTGGAGTACGGCTGCTAGGGATTATACCTGGGTTTGCAGCAAAATGAGTGAATCATTTACTTTGATCATTTTCATCAGTTAACTCTTGGGAGAGTTTGTAATTAAAGTGGGTTGCTGTTCCAATTCCTCCAACTGTTCCTGTGGCTGCTGCAAAACCTGATCCCAGGAGTACTAGAGCAATGATGGCCTGTTTTTCTCTGATAGGGAGGTACAGAGCCTTTTTAATTTGATCCTCTGTAAGTATAGAGATTTTTGGGGTGAAGAAGACAAGTATTCAGACTCCAGTCCAGTTGGCCTGCAACAACTGTAACCTGAGTTACCACATAGGAAGAATACTCCTGAAGTAGAGCATTGAGTGGTAGTATTTGACAAGGAAAGAGTGTGATTACAATAAGAGGAGGAAACTTTGTGTATGGCTTTTGTGCCATTAAAGTAGGCAGGTAACATTTGAGGGTAGGAAGAAGGATTATATTGTCTGCTAGCAGTCCTATGAACGTTGTTCTTCTGGTGTTCGAGATGCAATTTTCTGAAGTCTAATTAGGTGGAATGGGGGTTGCTATGACTACTCTGTTGTGGGGGGAGAGGGGAGACATAGTTAATAGTCCCTTAGCAAGGGTTGAGCTGGTATGTTTAGAACTTGAAAGGTGGTATTTAAAAAGCATCATATAGGGGTTTCTGAGTCAGTTGGCTAGGCACGTTTCTTTTATTACTTACTGATGGCTATACATCAGTATACATTTAGGAGAAAGACAATACTGGCTTTTATTTGGATGTCTTGTACTTGATTTCACTACTATTTTTGCTGGTAACTTTTTTTTTCTATTGAAGGTTATTTATTGCCCTAAATTACTTGCTATGTAAGTAAATAGCTGACTGTATGCTTCTATATACCTTAGGGGTATATTGAGGCTTATTGGCATTGAGTTAGTATTTTTTAATACTATTTAAAACACCGAGGTGAAAGAACTTTAGCATTTGTTTTTGAGAAGAAGTCTCTTTTTTAATAAAAGTGCAGGGTTTTTAGATATAACTAGAAATTGATGGGAAAATAATACTCTATTTTATATACAGTTTAACAGGAGTTAGATATTGAAGGCTCTTTTTTAATGCTCACTATGGTAAGTTAGCAGGGGGAAAGAAAGTTACTAAAAGATTGTAAGACTAAATAATAAGTTACTAAAAGACTGTAAGACTAAATAACTCGTATTAATGTTGAGAAGAAAGTGAATTATCTTACCAGCAATGTCCATGCATACTCAACACTTTTCCAGGTGTATAGTGATGCTGTGTTAATTATTGTTGTGTCCCTGAGGGAGCCAGGGCACTCTTGGGGAATTACTGAACTAGGTGTTCATGAGAACTGCTTTGGAAGCAAGTGGCAGAAAGCTTCCTTTCAGAACCCCATTAGTCTTTTGCAGCATTTTTTTACATTTATGGCTTATATGACCTTGACTAGGCTTTC